GCCAAACTTCTAGAGACTGCATTCTCGATCAATGTAAGTGCCGGAGACACATGATACACGTGAGAATTCGCATTTAACAAGGTTATTAACATCTCTGATATTATGCCCACGGGATTGGTGCCAGCATATAATTTGTCCATAAACCCAGGGTTCCAGGTGTTTACGCTGTAACATAAAATATTTCGTATCAGTGGGAATAGGCCTGTTATAAGTGCAGAGGTGGATGGCATTAATGTATACATGGAGAGAATTTACAGGATAATAGAGACGATAAACAACATAGTTTGATAGAATGAAATGTGAGTTATAATAATGGGTGAGGTGAGATCCACACATCTGCGTGATGATGTCTCTCTGTCACAATAAAACAAGTAACTAACTACCTTCAACACCACTACCACTATAACTCAAATCCAGGTTAAGTAATTGTTTCAATTCTTCCGGTGATTTGTAATCAACTACTCGTGCACCGGATTTTCTACCTTCATTCACATCTGTGAACGCATACAAAAACCTGTCAGAAAAAAAAATCGAATCAATCAAAAATGGATAAACAAACGAATTTTTGAATAGTTACATTCCACCATCAGATCTTTCATTTTTGACACCAGCATCTCCAGTTCAAACGCTTCTGCGCATAATTCGCCGTCCGAATAGTACTTCATCCTTAGATCAAAATGCAATTGATAACTGAAATGATCTTTTGGAAAATATTTCTGTAAGTGCAATTTTCCGGTAAAGTAGGAATGATTCAAATCGACCAAATCGTAAGCCAATGATTTATGTGATCAATCGTATCCCACTCTATTAAATATAAACAGTATTAACAGAAAATCCGTGGATCATTTATTTCTCCTCTGGACCGAATTCATATGCACACTCGTCGAATTTACTTATATGGTCAAAAAAATCAATGAACTTACGTAATCAAAAACAATCTGATGAATGAATTTTCTGCGCCGTTTTTTTGATTACTCTCTGTATTTATTCTTTTTTATGATTGTCGAAATTTTAGATTTTGATTGGTTTGATAGATGATGATTACAAAAAATAATAATAATCTAATCTAAGATTAAGAAATCGTATCTTTTTTTGGTTATACCAATTATTGCATGTACTGTGTCCGGGATAATTCGAACTACTCACGTATTGAAATTATCTCGTGACATCCTCGTGTGTGAAACTACATCGTCGGAGTATTTTAATCCGATTAAATGAGCAATGACTGACAATGATTTAACAATAAAATTTGCTCGCCTAATAATATACACAATATTTGCAGTCAATGAGAAATGATCTACGATTAACCTAAAATTCTTTTAAGGATGTAAAAAAGAAACTCATTGAGGAGGAAGGAACATGTGCTGAAACAATTTTTCCCCAATTCAGATAGGACAAATTTGATATCTTCGTAAGCATGACTATTCCGAGATCCCATAAGACTCATTGTCAATATCGAAAGCAACTGTGTACCACGATAATTATTTATAAGAGCTGTTTATTCTTTTGTTCGCTTTCGCATGCACGCGGATTGTCTCTAAATTTTATACACTCACTACTATATAACAAGTAAAGTTTTAAAAATAATGCACAGAATTAACACATTTGCCGACACCGAGCATTCAATTTCACCCCAACCATTTGGTAGCGGTAATAGAAGTCTATTAGTGATTCCAACGGAAAATCAAAGTCAAAATTCGGATGATTATCCTCTTGACGATATTAACAACGATATTCGACGACGTGCTAGTCCAACTCCCCTCCGTAAGCTGAGCACCCGTTATTTATTACATAACATATGAAAAAAAAAAAATGAATTGGTTTTATTAGGTTGATTTTTACATTACGATCATAAACAAATTTACATATACAGGTAGCTTAAATCGTATATCATTCAGGAATGAAACGATACTCTCAAAGCCAAGTCACATTATTACACACGGTGAAGATTCCATTCTCTCTTTGGCATGCAGTAAACACTATTTATTCAGTGGCTCACAAAACCCCAACATCAAGGTGCCTTTCTAATAATGATAACGTGACATGACGCAGTAAAAGAGAAATTCATCTTTCCCAATTTAAAAAATTTTTTCCTACTTTTTCAAAGGTATGGGACTTGAAAACCTTTCAGCAAAAAACCACGTTGAGAGGGCATATCGGGAGCGTGTTGTGCTTAACTTTGTCAGGAGATCAGACAATGCTATTTAGTTCGTCTGGTGAGTTCATCAATTGTTCTTTGACCGAATTGTTTGGCAATCTGATAGGAAATTCATATATTTGCTACATTTTTTGCAGGCGACGGAACGGTTCGGGTACGCATTTTTTTCATGCAAAACTCACCAATTTTTCATAGATCATCAACTCTTTTTTTTAACGCCTTGCGATAGGTTTGGGACGCATGGATGTTGAAATGCTTATATGTGATCCAATCTTCCCATGATATCGGTGATTTATTCACCGTGGTGTATTCTGATTCTTTGGAAACGTTGTACATCGGATGTCAAAATACCAGCATTCAGGTGAGAAAACTTTCATGAAACAGTGACCCTTGAATATCTTGTTCACATAATTATGGGTAACACCATTTTATTTTTAAGACATTTGATCTGTCCACCAAAGAAGAATGCAAAACGTCGCAACCATGGAATGCTTGTAAAAATCCAAAGTTCTTTGATACAATGCCAACATATTCAGACGATGCTTTCGAAGTTGTAGAGACAAATGAACCATTTTTCGAAAGAGAATGTGATGATGTGGAACGATATTTAATAGATGAAAGCAGGATCCATTTATATTGCCATAATGGATACATTTATGCCTTGGCGTTGGGCAAAAATAAAGACGGCGAGATTTTGATAAGTGGTAAGTTTTTTTTTAATCTTATGTGGGGAAATTTTTGAGTAGGCATGAAATAATTATTTCTTTTATAAAAGGATCCGGTGATGGTGATGTAAAGGTATGAAATATTGACAATTCGCAAATAATTATGATTCCGATTGCTAATCTTTCCTCAAAATCTGAAAGGTTTGGTCAATCAGAAAGGATTCGATGGATCTCTTAAAGATATTGAAAGGTACCGAAGACTCTGGAATTTTGACCTTGGCCTTGCACGATGAATTGATCTTTTGCGGTGTGCAGAACGGTAATATCAAGGTAGGCATCTTCTCTCGATCTCATGATGGAATTGCTGCGAACGAGACTGATCCTAATTTCCACTTTTTGTTGATTGAATAGATCTATGATTTGGATACGTATCAGGTATGCATGGCATCATGGCATTATGTTATGAAAGATCAAACTCAAATTCATGTTTGGTTTTAGCACGTCCGATCCCTTATGGCGCATGATGTAGGCTGTTTTGATGTATTTTATTCATTCATTAAGCCGTTTATTGTCAATTACTTATGTTTGCTCTTACATTGAAGGATGATGTTTTGGCACTAGCGATCCATGAAAACTATTTATTCTCTGGATCAGCAGACGGCACTATTAAGGTTTGACATCTGTCACCATTGAAATTACAAGTTTTGGCATTTTAACAGTGTCTTTTTTTTAAAAAAAAAAATAAATAAGAGGTGGAATGAAAAGTTTGAGATCTCGGACACGTCAAAGAGCCAAGGAACCATATTCGTGCTTATCATTGTTTCGCAATTTGGTGATTGTGAATTATCACCGAGTCATGGTTTACGGCTGATTAGTGGTGCCTCAGATCGGCTGATAAAGGTAATGTTCAAATTCAAACTTCCGTTATTTTTGAGATACGAGAGTGTTGTTTCATGATTTTTTTTTATTTAAATAGATTTGGGATTTGCCCGCACTAATCATAAACACAGAGGGAAAGTTCGAAGAGTTAACAACTGGTTTGTTCAAAAAAATTCTTTTATAAATAATAATCGAACTCATGCTATGATTCCACTCAAAATTAAAATGGAATTCATAATTAGATGTGATGCTGTATGCATTGTCAAAGTGGATTTCATTGCAAACCGTCAGCGGGGATCAAAAATACTCCAGGGAGTGTTTTCGCGGTGCAAAATACCTGAATGACATTTTCGAACAGCTGGGTGCAAGATCTTCATTGGTAAAAATTCTAAGCTGAACCAATATTTATTTTTTGATTGGCATTTTAAGATAATTCATTTCTCGCCTTTTTTTAGATCATAGGGAAACAAGAGCAAAATTCGATTGTACTTGGGAAATTCTCGGGTATAGATGATAATGAATCATCGAAATTGAATATCTTGGTTTATGGCCACTACGACGTGATTGGTGCTGATGAAACAAAGTGGCGATCAGACCCTTTTGAAATGCTGAGTACGTAAACCTATCTCCATACATTGTTCCTCTGGATTTAATTTTTTTTTTTTTTTAAATCGAATAGGCAAGGACGGTTATATTTATGGAAGAGGTAGTTTAATATCATAGGGCATTCAAATTTCTGATCTTGTAATTACTGATTTACCGTCTGCTTTTTTTTTTGTCATCTTTAAAAGGAGTGACGGACAACAAAGGACCAATGTTGGCAGCGATATTTGCTGCGAGCGAGCTGGTAAAAGAAAAAAAATTGAAGGCGAACGTAACATTTTTGATTGAGGGCGAAGAGGAGAATGGCAGTGTTGGTTTTTATGAAGCGGTGGAAAACTCTAAGGTTCGGTTTGAATTACCTTGTTTGGAACGAATAATTCGAAGGAGTTCACTGATTTTTTTTTTAAAAAAACATTATCTTTAGCATTTAATTGAAGACCCTGATGTTATATTTGTTAGGTAAAAAAAATGATTTCTAAATTTTCCTGATGTTCATTAAAATTCCTTCTCAATTTGCATCATTTTCACTGTATTTTCCTGTAGTAATTCTTACTGGCTGGATGACGAAACCCCATGTTTGATTTATGGTTTGCGTGGAGTTGTCCGAGCCACAATTGAAGTAAGTAGAGTTATTAACTATTAATTTTTGGTTAAATAATTAATGGTTTATGTTATTTTCCATTCAGATCTCGGGTCCACGAAATGATTTGCACTCTGGTGTGCAAGGTGGGGCCGTATCAGAACCACTGATCGACATGGTCAAAGTACTCTCCAAGCTTGTTTCAGACGACAATCGCATTCAAATACCGAGTAATTAATATTTCACATTCAACACTCATTACCCACGAGTTTCTTTCAACTGTCATTTGTATTTTTCAGAATTTTACGATAAAGTAAGACCTGTCACCCCCTCCGAGGAAAAATTGTATGATTCTATATTAAATTCAAGGTAATAATTATATGTAAATATTCTTCCGACTAGAAATCCTACTAACTAGTTGCATCTTCCAATCAGGCTAAGATTTCACAAAAACCATTCCCAAGAGATGGATGAATCCCAAAGTTTTCAAACTCGTGAAACATTGATGTCACGGTGGAGATATCCATCGCTGACAATCCATAAAATTAACGTCAGCGGTCCAGATAATAACACTACTATTCC